CCAGAGCCAGGGAGCCTGGATTCGCAAAATTCTTGGCTCCTCCATGCCTAGTATCTCAGCTGTAAATTGGGATATTACCAGTGGCTACTTCAGACTGCTTTTTGTCAGGATTGAGGTGACAACACTATACAGCTGGACACAGTGCTTGTCATGGCAGAGTGTACCCTCTAATAAGCACCAGATAACATAAGGCTCTGGACAATTTCACACTCTTGGAATGTAAGATCATCTGACCCTGCCCCCAGAGTCCCTTGTCCTCACTCCTGACAGCACTAACCCAGCTAATAAGTTTGGAGAACAGGACACTGAAAACCACCCTTCCCGAGAAGCACTTTCCTCACATTTATCTCAAATGTGCTACCATCAAGTTATTTCTTCTAGCACGTTCCTTCCCAATATGGAACTCCTGGCAGGGGTATGCCCTCATCTCTGAATGCACAGGAACAAGCTAGTCGACTTGGCACAGAAGGAGCAGGAGGAAAGAAGGCTGAAAGAAGAGACAACAGCCCTTCAGTGACTGGGAATGAAAACATAAAAAGAGCATCAGGTTTCTGGAAGGAGCCCTGAGATGCTGGCAGTAATGGTGCCTTGTGGAGGTTAGGTAGGGCAGCAGACTGACCAAAGCAACGTTTCTTTAACATCTCTTGCTACCATTTGAATTTGGTACCAGCCACATGGATTACCTAATCAAAAAATACTAGCAACCTAGACATTGAGGCACAGATTTGTGATACCAGAACTTAGAAAGCTGGGGTAGGATTGTGAGCTGTGGGCTAACCTGGGCTACACAGCAAGATCCCATCTCAAGGCAAAATAAAACAAGACAAGAATTTAGAAAGCCAGGAAGGGAAGAACAATATTCTGTCCCCACAAATCTCCAACCATCCTGACAGGATCTCCTGGAATGCTTTTACACAGTCAAGGGTCAGAGAGTGCATGTCCCAACAGCTGCAACAAACAACCTTGGGAACCAACCAGGACACAGCTTCTCTTATGTCATCACCTCCTCCACAGAGAGGTGTGAAGTCAACAGTGAGCAGAACACTGATGGGATATCTTCATCTCACTGCTAGACCTGACAAGATATTTCTACTCCATTGGGCAGAACCCAGCAAAAAGCCAAGGAACAAAATCCTATTTCAGGACCTGCCATGAAGCACACAATCATTTCATACTTCCCCTGAAGGCTGGGAGGATCGTGGACACTTCTCAAGAAAACATCTAAATCACTGTCATTGTCCCTAAACATCACCATGCACCTTCTCCCAATTTTCCCCTTTAAAAATGTCACTGCATTTATTTGTTTTTTTATTTGCTTGGTAGTGTTTTGAAATAGGATCTTACTTTATAGCTATGACTGACTTAAAACTTACTATGAAACTGACCTCAAACTTGCCGCAATCCTCCTGTCTCTGTCTCCCAAGTGCTAGGATTACAAATGAGTGCCACTACACCCAACAAAAGTCACTAGATCTTGTGGTTGGAAGATGTTAAATTGAATTATGCCCCCCCAATTAACTGAAGTTCTAATCCCAGAATTTCTCAGTGTGAACTTATTTGGAAAGGGTAATCATAGATGTGACTGGTTGAGACCAGAGAGGAATACCATGGGCCCTAAATTCAGTACAACTGGTACCCCTATAAGAGAAGACCTAGAGACAAGAGAAGACAACCATGTAATCACAGAGACAGAGGCTGGAGTGCTTCAGTTCTAAGGGAAGGATATCTGGGCTCACCAACAACCACTAGAGGCTGAAAGACAGAAGGTCATCTCTCTCTGAGTCCCTGAGAAGGACTAGCCCTGCTCATGCCTCAACTTTGGAATTCTGATCTACAAGCCTCTGAGAGAATACCTTTATCTTTTTGAGACACCCAGTTTGTGGCACTTTGTTACAGGTAGTTGCTCTAGAAGACTAACAGAGCCCATCACTTGCCTTCCCTTTCCATCCACCCATGCCTGAACTCTTCTGCCCAGTGATCCACTGCCAGCCAGCTTCTATCTCCAGTAAGATAAAACCAACTCAGTGTCCATCTCAGTAGCACAATCTCCAGTTTTATAAGGCCCTGGCTGAAATAAACAGTTCCTCAGCAAATATACGTCGAGCACTTACTACAAGCCAGCCACTGTTCTGGGCCTGTTGATACAAGCAGCAAACAATGAAAAGATAATGAAAATATTCTCAAAGAATGGAATGGGCTAGGGACCAGGGAAAATAAGCAGATCATTTTGATGGTTAGGGAAGATCACATTTAACATGTGATATAGGAGTGGTGACCTGAATGACAGGGTAATCTTGAAGGAGGAACAGCCAGTGTACAGGCCCTGTGGCACAGCAGACTAGGCATGCTTAAGGAGGGATCTCTGGGAGTGACTGTGTAGCTGCTGACACTGGAGAAACAGGTGAGATCAGTCAGTACCAGCATCACTATCTGGCAGCCCAAAGTAAGTTCATCCAGAGAGACCATGTTATTCTTCAAACTGAAGCCTTTCTTACTGCACTGTTTGTTCTTTATTTCTTGGGACCTTACCCAGTTCTGAATGTCCTGTAATTCTTGCCATCAAGATGTTCCTAGATTACCAGCCCTGATTCCTGCACCTCTCTCGGTAAGTACTCTGGGTGGCTCTCTGTGACCTTCATGAAAAGAACACAGTCTGTGAGGCATGTGGTAAATGAAACCTCTCAGGCCAGACCTTGGCTTTGATACATGTGCCCAAGACTGCCTTGGCTTTCAATCTGGCCTGAACCACTGACCTGCAGAGACAGATAAGACACAAAGCAACCCCCTGCAGTCCTGTGGTGCTGCCCAGATTTAGAGAATGGGATAAAAAGCTTGTTCTTCCCTAACAAGAACAGCTGTGTATGCTAAAAATAGAAAAAAAAAATGCCACAAAACCTCAAACAATGCCACGTACAAAATCTAGGTGAAACCAGCAGAGCTAATAGCAGCTCCCTGGATTTTACAACGTTCCTCTGGAGGAAGGAGGCTGGAGGAAGAAATATTACCAGGGCAGGTCTCCCTAGAACTTCCATGCTGTCTTGCATCATAACAGAGGACACCTGGCCTGTTTGGAAACACTGGGCATTTGAGCAAAGATGCTCTGCAATCTACTTCCTACTGGCTTTCTCAAAGCTTAGAAACAAATCTGAGTTGCCACAGAGGGTGTAGGGAGAGGTAACAGTACAGCGAGCTGGCTAGCCAACCAAGCTGTCAGTGAGGCAAGGAAGGCAGAGAAGGATGCTCCACTCAGTACCTGGCACAGCCCAGCAGGAGTCATAATCTACTCAAATCCATCCCATGTCCCCTTGGGTGATGAGCTACTACTCTCAGCACTTGGAGCAACAAAGTTATTGTGGAGCTTTCTTTGCCTCCAACAGTTAAGTGGCCCCGGACAAGGGAGTCTTGTTTTCCTCATCAGGAGGAATGTCATCTACCACTCCCAAATGAAAGGGTGAACTAAGAGTGCCTGATGAAAGTGCTCTGTAAGCTACCCAGCAAGAGGACACAGTGCTATGGCTGTTCCTTACTGAAGCAGGCTGTCTCCGTGATCAGCTTTTGATTCCTGTTTTTAGACTGGGTCTTTTTATACAGCCCAGACTGATTTTGAACTCATGATACGCCTGCCTCAGCTTCTGGAGTGCTACTATTACAGCCTATGCCATTGTATCTGGCTTTTGATATTTTATTGTTTTTATTATTTAATTTTGTGTATGTATGTGAATATGGGTGCTTGAGAAGGCAAGAAGAGAGTGTCAGATTCTGTGGAGACAAGGTTATAGGTGGTTATGAGCCACCTAAGGTGGGTGCTGGAAACTGAACTGTGGCCCTCTGCAAGAGCAGTATGTGCTCTTAGCTGTTGAGCCTTCTCTTTCATCCCTTAACATATCTTTTAACCTGACTATTTTCCTCTTGAGAAAGAAACGAAGAGATGGGAGAGAAAGAAAGAAAACCTGATATTGACATGATTTTTCCACTCTACAGCTCCCCTGGGGAGGGGGCTGTCCTAAAAGAAGCTCCCTCAGCACCATTTGGAGTTACTATAAAACAACTTACCGTTGAAGAAACAACATGCCGTGAAGATAAAATTGCATTTAGCATCTGTGGTGATACCTCACTTCAATTTCTTTTAAGACTCGTGATATGCTCATCTCACTGCTTATGCTTGAGACATTCTCAAGGAATAGGAATCCACTCCACGTGAACTGATGGTACAGACCACCAATCCAAAAGCCAACCACTGCAAGGAACTCGTGGGATGCAACGGAGACTGAGATAGCCCACCATCACCAACCAAGAAATCACCAGTGTTTGAGGGGGAAAGAAAATCTCGGATGTCAACTTTTTCCAGGAGCCCATCTAAACAGCTTGTCTGCCATCTTGGTCCTCAAAGGCCTAAATATCTGTTTCTGACCACAGTGTGGGAAAAGAGGGAAGGAATGTGCCTCTCTGCTCCTGTCCTGGGGTTCATGCTGTGCCTGCCCTGCTTTCAGGATTAGGGAGGAGGCAGAAAGGGATGAATCAGAACCCCAGCATCGGGTTACAGGCTGGATCTAAGCCTGGCGAGGGCAGCCCGGCTTGACAGCTGCCAGCTCACCTCTACCTCTGACTCACCACCCGGACACCACGTCGGGATCCAGCCCGTGCCAGCGCACCTGTGCCGGCAGAGCCGCACTCCCGCTCATTCTGTTGGTCGCACTCTGTGGGTGCAGCACTTGACCGCCCAGCCTCCTTCCTCCTCCCCTTGTCCCGTTCCCACATCTCAACCCGCAAATGGAGGGAGCGCAGACCAGGGCAAGACTGGGTCGGATCCTCCCAAATCCTGGAAGCTGCTTTGGTGCCCGAGCCTTCTCTGGCGGCCCCGCACAGTCGTGGCCTCAGACCGGCTCGCCGGCCTCGGCGGGCCCCACACTGAGGCTGGCGGAGTGACAGCCCTGCCCGCCGCACCGACCGTCCAGCCGACCCGCCCACGCCGCCAGCGACCCCTCCTCACGCTTCCTCACCCGTCCCCGCGCAGCCACGCCGCGCAGCCCCTCGCGAGCGCAGCACCACAGCCCAGGCCCTCTCACCCCGGCGGCCCGCGGGACCCGGCAGGGGGGCGGACGCCGTCGGGTCCGCAGCTGCTGCGAATGCGCCGCGCGCGACGAGCCGTGCCCGGTCCCTCTGAGGCGCGGCGGAGCGAGCTGTCAGTCAGAGGGGCTCTCCCCGCCCCTTTAGCGCCACGTGACTCGCGGAGCAGCCGGGTCCTTCGGAGGAGTCGCGGAGAGCGCTGTCAGTCAGCCGGGAGCGCCCCGCCCAACCCCGCCCCTCACCCCGCGTGACGCGCCAGCTGCGGGGTTCTCCAGAGCCCAGGAGCGATCCGGGGCGCCCCGCCCCTGGAGCCCACGTGACACGCGAGCAGTCCGGTTCTTCTGAGGCACCGCGAGCGAGCTGTCATTTTGCGGGGAGCGCCCCGCCTCTCTCGGCTTCTGTACGCAGACGCAGGAGCAGCCCTTCGTCCCTGACACGCGGGTTCGCTTAGGAACAGAGTTCCTGCAGAGGGATGACAAGGGCGCGGCTTTTGTGCGCCCAAGAGTGGTTTGGGAGAGGGGAAAGATCCGCAAGGAGCGAGGCCCTGGAGTCAGGTTCAGGACCCTTCCTGGCCCTACCTGAGGTAACAGAGTCCCAGCGAAGTTCCCTTGGGCCGACAAGCCTTTGAAGGCGCGGGTAGCAAACACGCTGAGTCCCGTTTGTCTTCTGAAAGGCGTGTCTTAAAAGGCAGGTAGATTTGCCTCTTTTCATAAACAGCAATAAACACAACGTCCAGCCATACAGCTTCTCCCACATCTCTTCAATAAAGAAACACAAAGAGACTGGGGGTGGAGCTCAGTGGTGGATCGCTGGCCCAGCATAGCCAAGGTCCTGGCTTCCAGGCTCAGAGCCAGGAAGGAAAAGAAAAAGAAAACCAAGGCCGATCTTCATGGATTTTTTTTTTTAAAGTCATGAATGATAGGCAGTGGGACTGGAGTTCTGCTGCTCACTACTCGTAGGTAGTGTGGTAACCAAACACCTGCCCTTTGCTGACAACAGATGCGAACATCTGTCCCACTCAGACTTCTCTTGGGAAAGTTTAAGAGATCATGAGGAAAGGACTGGGAGCTGCTGTTCCTAGAGTTTGGGACATTCCAAGTGTGCATGGCCACCCCAGAAGAAGCTAGACCTCTGGGTGTGAGAGCTTAGTGCCAGCTCTGGAGGGGCTAGCGTAGTGCAGCCTTCATCCTTGTGAGGATGCTACAGATAGGTGCTCAGAAAACTTGCAGGATGGAAGAGGACAGTGCTGGGGTTGAAGGAATCCACCCCTGCTTCAATGAAGGAAGCTGGCCACTAGGCACCAATCCCTGCAACCTTGACCTCATCTGGACAACTGTTGGAGAGAACTGAAACAAATGAGCCCATTAAGGGCCACATTCCATATTGAGAGACATCATTTCTTCTCAAGAGATTCAGCAGCACTCTGCCCTGCCTTCTCACAGGCCTCTGACCTCCTCAGGAAGTTGGACAGAGGCAGATGACATGACATTTTGAAACGAGGAAGAACGTTCTGCAAGCCACAGACCAGTGAACTTAGTATCAACCTAGGAAGCATTGGAGGCAGATGACTCAGAAGATATTTGTGATCCCTCTGAAAACGCAGTACTGAGACGGGATAGGCAAGGAGCTAGATGTGAAGAATGAAAGAGATTGAGGCTATGTGTTGGTAGCTGAGTTCTCTCGTAGTCAGGATGCTCCTTTGCAGGTAAACTTCCTTGAATCTGAACATAGGTTGTCCATTTTTATCAGAGACCTTTCCCAGTTGCCACACATAGCACTAACAAAAAGTCTGCATCTTCAGAAGACCCTTGCTTCACCATGCTATCATTTATATCATGGCATTACACTTCTCTGTGGGCTTTTCAAGAGAATCATGGCAATATCCTAAAAGGGAGAACTGCCCAATTATGATTTGTGAGGAGAAAAGAGTCATCGTGCCTCCTAGATAGTCATAAAATCAGCCAGGTAGTGGTGGCACATGCCTTTAATTCCAGCACTCCGGAGGCAGAGGCAGAAAGATCTCTGTGAGTTAGAGGCCAGCCTGGTCTACAGAGCTAGTTCTAGTTCTAGGGCAGCCAATGCCCCACCAAAAAACCCTGTCTCAAACAACAACAACAAATAATAATAATAATCCACAATGCAGACCCACTGGGTGCCTTTTTCCTTGGGACAGCCCACTCTAATCTTTCTCTGGAGTGTAGCTTTGCTTTTCTGGATAAATTTTTACTTAAACTGTCCATGACTCTCAACTGAATTCTTTCCTTTGAGAATACAAGAATAGAGAGAACTTGTAACAACAACAAAGTCAGAGACCCATGATGGTTACTTTGCTTTATTTCCTATTGTGAACATATAAAGGGCTGTGGTGGGAATAACATCTCCAACCAAAGGCAGGTTGTCAACTTTCTTGGATCTGAGACCAAGTAAGAGACAAGCCCAGGGTGGGTGTCAGCTTCTGCTGGGAGACCCACATAAGATGCAGAGACGCAGTGCTGCTTTTGCCTACCACCTTTGCCCTTGCTGGTGAGCACATCTACGCTATTGCTGCCACCTGCCTTTGCTGACATTAGAACCCAGCTTCTGTGGTCTCCTAACATGGACTGAAGACCAGCAGCCTTCAGTGTCACATTGGGACTGCTAAAGTATCCAGCCTCATGGACTGAACAGCCACCAAATTCTTACACTCTCCACTATGCAGGTGGCCATTGTTGGACTGTCCAGGCCCTATCATGTGAGGTGACCTAATACACCTCCTTTGTAGCACATATTCTGGTCTTCCCCCTTGGAGAACCCTGACTGATAAATCAAATCTGTCTGGATTCTTCCCCTTGTAAGCAAGGGACTCAATTCAAATTGCCCTTTTGAAGAGACATCTGTGTGTTTTGATAACTAAAAAGCTCTGAGGCAGGCCCAGCAGGATCTACAGGGCACACACAAGAAAATGTCACTAGAACTTATTTCTTCCTAGCTTGCCTGTGCTGTCTGTTTTATGTCAATCTGACACAAGCTAGAGTGGTTTGGGAAGAGGGAATTCGGATTGAGAAAATGCACCCCCAGAATGTCCCATGGGGCATTATTTGGCTTGATGTGAAAGGACCCACCTCATTGTGGGGGGTGACACTCCTGAGCAGGTGATCCTGGGAGCTATAAAACAATAGGCTGAACAAACCACGAGGAGCAAGCCTAGAATCGATGCTCCCCAAGGGTTTCTGCCTCAGTTCCTGCCCCCAGGTTCCTGCCCTAACTTCCTTCAATAGTGGACTATGATGTGGAAGTGTGAGTTGTTTTTGGTCATGGTGTATATTACAGCAATAGAAACCCTAGCCAAGATACTGACTGCCTAGATTGACTTCTTTCTCAGAGCAGCTCCAGGTTTATCCTGGAGGATTACACACCTTAGCTGCCTAGCAGACAAAAGGGATTTTCTCTTTTTATTCTTCCAGCAAAATCCCAGAATTTGGTGGGAATGTGCCATCCTCAGAGCCAGTCTCTGACGCCAGCTTAACAGGATAACTGACTGGATTGGACGAAAGTGAAGAGCAGTGTGGGCCAGCCCCATCATGCTGACTGGTGAAAGGAAAAAGTGACTTCCGGGAGCTGGAAGAACAAGAAGCAACAGGTACCAGAACAGTGCTTGCCAAGGTTTCACCATAGCTCCCTGACTTCTGTGAGGCTTGCTTCATGGGGAGGAAAGGAATCAATAAGTGAGAAGTGGAGGTGACCAGAGATGACAGGCTGCGAGGCAAGGAGAGGGATGGGATGAAAGGGTACAGGCGTGGGACCAGCGGAGGAAGTCTACAGCAGGCCAGGCAGGAGAACATTTCAATCTAGTCTTAAGGGACATGGCAGTGAGTGGGCTATGCAGGGAAGAGTGTCAACAACAGGCCCAGCTTTCAGAAGCAGCAGCCTTTAGCAGCTCCAAGCATGCACGGTGAACCAAACCCCTGCCCTCCTAAGTACCTGCCCTTCTAAGCACCCATCCTACCAAGTACCGGATCCACCAAGCACCTGTCTCACCCAGCACCTAACCCGCTTAGCAGGCCACTCCTAGCAGGCTCTGCCCACAGGTGAGGTGAAATGCCCAAAACAAAAGATTTGAGGAACACATTGCCCCACTTTGGGTTTTGACTTCCGGGGCCTTGCTCAACACTATGGGGTGTGGAGTTTCAGTCATCAGGCCTTCCTAATCTGGCTGTTGACAAATTCACCCCTACAAACGCAGTGGAAAATGTCAAACAACCAAGGCAGCTTTCCAAAACACATTTCTGCTTCCCCTGTCTCTCCAGCATTTGCTTAACGTGGATATATGCCTTATTGCCTAGATGGGTTCTTATCAAGAGAATACTCCGCCACAAGCACCCAGGCCACGATGCAGATTATTATTGCTTCCTGAACCTTCCCTTCAATAGAGCCACAGCAGCGCTGGCTTTGCAGAGGCTACTGTTGTGTGTTTTTGAGAAGAATGCAGTATGCATTCTTGGTACTTTACTTCTACGTAACATCATGTTGTGACTTGTGTTGTTGCCCATGCTTTCCTTTTCGTTACTGTAGACTTTCTACTTAAAAGTGTGTGTATTCATACATATGCAAGCTGTGTGGGTCAGAGCAGTTCTCTCCTTCCAGTTCTGGGGACTGAAATTCAGTCTATTGGGTCTTGGGCTTGGCATCATATGCCTTTACTCACTGAGCAATTTCTCCATTGAGCTTATTTCTTACATTTTTTCCATAGGTATTCTATGGTTATATAAGCATGCATATCAACTCCCCTTTTCACACAAAGACAGTTTTATATAATAGAATTAATGTATCTTGAAGACCATAAATATCAACTTATGAGAACGGCTGCCTTTAATGCTTATCTCACACCATGGAGTGAGCACAGCACACTAACATGCAGATGGGCACGTGGAATGAGGCTAGTGCTACTGTTGACACTCAGGTAGACGTTTGAGAAAACAGAAGTCTTTCTGTACATACATTCCCAGGAGCTGGATCAGAGTGTGCACACACACATTTGGGGGATTCCTACTGCTAATATGCTCTAGAGACACAACAGATTCTTAAGTCATCCTTGCCAGCAGAGATTACCATTACTCTTTCTGTGTTTGCTAACCAGTAGGGTAC